CTGATAGAGCTACAGTTGCTGTTGTACCAACCAACAATGAATGTGAAAATAATGATGCGGTCGATGAAATAGCTGAATATTACGATTGTAGATATTTATCAGCATGTGAAGCATCATGGCGAATTTTTAGATATGATGTTCATTGCAGATATCCTTCTGTTGTTAGAATACATTTTAATCTTCCTAATCAACAACAGATTGTATATGGCGAAGATGATGATATTGATGATGTTCTTGACAAACCTTCTGTTGCCGCTTCAAAGTTCACAGCTTGGATGAAGTGTAATGCAATCGACAGTGAAGCACGAAAACTCACATATGTTGAATTCCCTACAAAGTTTGTTTGGATATTAAATGGTGGTTTTGGAAGCGAAGGAAAGTAGGAAAAGCCATCGGTAGAATTCATTCAGTTTCACCTAAACTAGGTGAAGCATATTTCTTAAGGATTCTTTTAAATAAAGTAAAAGGACCAACATCATTTGATGAAATTCGCACGGTAAATGGAGAAACACATTCTTCTTTTAGAGATGCCTGTTATGCACTCGGGCTATTAGATGATGACAAGGAATACATTGATGCAATTAAAGAAGCAATTCATTCTGGATCTGGTTTTTATCTATGCTTTTTATTTGCTACATTGTTGATGTGTAATAGTATGTCTAAACCAGAGATCGTTTGGGAAAATACATGGGAATATTTGGCAGATGGAATTCTATATAGCCAACGACGAAGATTTAAGTCAGCAGGTATTACATTTTTTCTTATTTTTTAAAATTAATTTATTTTTATTTTTCAACACCCATTAAATAATTAGTAATGAAATTATTAAATATCAACCACGTATTTTATTAATTATTTAATATTTTCGTGCAGAATTGTCTCTCGGAGTAGATGAACTTAAGAACTTAACTTTGTTCGAAATACAACAAATTTTACTTCGAAACAACTCTACTCTCAAAAACTTCAAAAACATGCCATACCCAGATGTTGAATCCGTTTCTTCTTCAAACAATCGACTTATCACCGAGGAACTAGATTACGACATTCCTGTGATAAAGAATGACTATGATCGTATGTTTCTTGCATTAACAAATGAGCAACGGAACATTTTCCTAAACATCAAGAGTGCTATTCAACAAAATAAAGGAGGTGTCTTCTTTGTTTACGGGTATGGTGGAACGGGTAAAACTTTTTTATGGAAAACAATATCTGCAGCAATTAGATCTGAAGGAAATATTGTATTAAATGTTGCTTCAAGTGGTATTGCTTCCTTATTATTGCCCGGTGGTAGAACAGCACACTCTCGATTTATAATTCCATTTGAGCTTACAGAGGATTCTTTTTGTAACATAAATCCAGACGGTGAGTTGGCAAGCTTAATAAGGAAAACCTCTTTGATAATTTGGGATGAAGCACCTATGGTCCATAAGCATGCATTTGAAGCTTTAGATCGAACTTTGAAGGATTTATTAAGGTGCGTAAATTCAACCATCTCAAATATTCCATTTGGAGGGAAAGTTATTGTCTTTGGAGGAGATTTTAGACAAATTCTACCTGTTGTGCCGGGTGGCAGTAGACAGAACATTGTAAATGCTTCTTTGAGTTCTTCATATTTATGGGAACATTGCAAAGTCCATAGATTAACAAAAAACATGAGGCTAACTGTTGGAAGGGATCAATCAGATATAGGAAAAATAAGAGATTTTGCAAATTGGTTGTTGGATATAGGAGAAGGAAAACTTGGTGGTCCGAACGACGGTGAAACGATTATCGATATTCCGGATGATATTCTCATTAATGATTCACATGATCCTATAGGTTCCTTAATTGAGTTTGTATATCCTTCAATTTTAGAGTACTATAGCGATATAAATTATTTCCAAGAAAGAGCGATACTTGCTCCAAAAAATGAAGTTGTCCAGGAAATAAACGACCGTTTACTTAAGAAGTTTCCAGGAGATCAAGTTGAATATTTAAGTTCAGACTGCATATGTGAATCCGAATTTCTCCATGATCAATTTGATGCAAATCTATACTCTCTGATGTATTAAATGGACTCAAAGTATCCGGTTTACCAAATCATAAATTAGTTTTAAAAATTGGTGTTCCAGTAATGTTACTGAGAAATATTGATCAGAAAAACGGCTTATGTAATGGCACAAGACTACAGGTGTTATCATTGGGCAAACGTGTTATTGAGGCACGTATAATAACTGGAACTAATATTGGAAATCAGGACTTTTATTCCAAGAATGTCTTTAACTCCATCAGAAAAAAAGATTCCCTTCAAATTCACAAGAAGACAGTTTCCTTTGGCTGTATGTTTTGCAATGACTATTAACAAAAGTCAAGGACAATCGTTGTCAAAGGTTGGTCTGTTTCTGAAAGATCCAGTTTTTCACATGGACAATTGTATGTTGCCTTATTAGAGTTCAGAGTAGAGAGGGATTAAAATTATTAATTTTAGATAAAGATGGCAAACTCACAAATAAAACTTCCAATGTTGTTTATAAGGAAGTTTTTCGAAATTTGTAGCCAACTTTTTTGTAACGTCGTTTTATTCAATTTTAGGAAATCACACTTAATCCATCATATTACTGTATTTTTTTATAATTACGTATTGTTGTATTTTATGTTAATTTCATTACACACATTGGTATTGTATCATCTGCATATGTCCAATTAGAATGATGAATAAAAAAAAAATAGTTTTCAAAAATCTTCATTCCTAATTAAATACTTCCCATTTAGTTAGTAATTAAATAATTACCAATAAAAAAATTTATTTAAATATTCAATATTACAATTTATAAGTTATCAGAATTATTGATATAATATTTTATTAAATAATTAATTTTTAAATTCAATTCAAAAACAACACCTGTGGGTTCCACGAGTTTTAACCTAGTAATAATAATAAAAGTAGGGTGTTTTGAGATTCATTTGTACGAATGGAATGATGGTTCCACTTTGTATCAATAAATATCCAAAAAAATATATAGATAAAGTTGAAAAAATAATCTATGTGGCTATCAAAATTTTATAGTTTAGGTCCAACAAATTTTAGTGGAGCAATAATGGTTTAAAATTGGATATTTTTATTGATTTTGATCTCTATTAATCTAAAAAGAAAAAGTTTCGTTTGGTGACAGCAACGTTTACTTTTTAACCTAAACAAAATGCTTCAAAATTAAAAGCTACATGAAGTAGCTTTCAACAAAATGCTTCAAAATAAAACGCTACCTGCTAACCGTTACCAACTAGTTTTTTGCCGAACACGTCCTATATATATATGTTAATATTTTTAATTAATTAAAAATAAAAAATGACTAACCCCCCCCTCTCTCTCTCTCTCTCTCTCTCTCTCTCTCTTTCTATATATATATATATATATATATATATATATATATTATTAAGCATATTGCTTCTTTCTTGAAAATTAAGAGGTACAACATATATCACCTCATGTACAAAAATATTAAACATATAACCAATCATATACGTATTACACTACACGGATGGTATATGTATTACACTACACACAGACCTTACCCTAATCTCTTAAACACAACTGCCATCAAACCAATTTTTATCGTATCCACCAAAGATGCAGTGATCTCCATCAATGTCTCCCATCAAAGGTCCACGACTGCCGACCTCCCCCATCGAAGACGTCCCATCATCAAACCAAAGAAGACCGAAAAATACGTAAGAGCTCACTGCCTGAAAGGAAACTCCTACAGATTCCTCTTCAGAGACCTGAAGAAGATGACACGGATGTTTGAGCGCCTATGGGTTTACTTCTCCCTCTCTCTCTTTCTCTCTCTCTCTCTCTCTCGCCTCTCTTTCTCTCTCTCGATCGCCATCAGAATGAAATTGAAACCCTAATTTCAAATCCCTCCAGCGAGGTATGAAACGGTTGTCGGTAATCTGTTATGATTGGAGATCCCCTTGGAAGAAATGAGATGAAAAAGGTACGCTGCTACTTTCCTTTATTGTTTTCGCTTTCGCTTTTGCTGCTTCTTTTTAAATCTCTAAATTTTGTTTCTACTGTATATGTAGATAGTTGAGCGTTTGATGGATCTAAAAGCTTTATTATGTGAAAATGATTACCAGATTGTTTAATAACAGGGAAGATAGTTGCTTTGAAGAAAGTTAGATTTGATAATTTACAGCCAGAAAATTTGAAGTTCATGGCAATAGAGATTCTTATACTGAAGAAGCTAAATCATCCTAATATTATTAAGCTTGAAGGATTGGTGACATCAAATATGTCTTATAGTCTCTACCTGGTGTTTGAATACATGAAACATGATCTCTCTAGCCTTTCTGTCGTCCAAGGTGTCAAGTTTACAGAGCCACAGGTATCTTTCAAAACTCATTATGATAATTTCAACAATTAAGATAGATACAGACTTTATTACTTCTTTAATGTAAGGTTAGTAACAAGTGTTGTTAATGTTAGATCGATTTCTGGCCCCACACATATATATTGGTTGTATTGACCTTATTCTTGGTTGTCAAGTTGATTTTTTTATCTTATAGTTGCATTTGTCTTATTGTTTCTGGTTTGTATGGTTGTATTTTCCTTTAGTTGTGCTTTCCGACATTATTGTTTTCTAATGTTTTTGTCCATAAGATGGTATCCAATTATATGCTTTTAAAGTCTAATGGATGAGAATACTATCAAAATTTCTGATTTACATTATTTTCAGCTTATATTACATTGACTTTGACTAAAAAGTTGGAACTTGAAAATCATCTAAAGTATCATTATTTAATTTAATAGTTGTAGAATATCAGAGAAGCTCCAGAAATGCTTCTTAAATGCCACATGTATTTAAGAAAAGAAGTTCCAAGAATATATACTAATGGAAAGTTTTCATGAAGGGATAATGAGGGAATCAATCCTTGTTGTATTTTTCAAAATAATGATGACTACTTTTTATTTGTGGGTTTTACATTTACTATATAATATTTAATATGTGAAAATGTGTTTGATGATGTTCCATCTTGATTTGGTTTTATAAATTCGGGTTGAACAACTACACAAGATTTTTAAATTACGTGGCTCTCCATCAGATGAATACTGGAAGAAATACCGATTACCAAATGCAACACTTTTCAAGCCACAACATCCTTACATGCGTTGTACAATAGAAACATTCAAAGACTTTCCACCTTCTTCTCTACCTTTACTAGAAACTCTTCTTGCAATGGTACCTAAGGACAGAGGCACTGCCACTTCCGCTCTTAATAGCAAGTGAGTAAAAGGAGGGGTAATATAGTTATTTTTTGTTTTCTCTTAATTCATCATTTTTGTTCCATATCATCACAAATCGATTGGCGTTAAAACTTTTATAGTGTTTCCTTGCAAAATACAGTGCATGAGTAGTTCATTTAAAAGGTCAGTCCATTTGATCTAAGTAGTGCTTTCTCTTTGACTCTTTGTGTGTAGTTCTTCAGCACCGAGCCTTATGCTTGTGAACCATCAAAATTACCAAAATACCCTCCAAGCAAATAAATAGATGTCAAATTGAGGGACGAGGAAGCTAGAAGGTTGTTATGTTGTATTTTCTTTAAATTATTTTTTTTCTTTATAATTTGGTATGAATGTTAATAATGGAAATTGCATTACATTTTTATCCATATAGGCAAAGAGGTTTAAGCAGTAAATCTCATGCTGTGGATGGAAATAGAAGAACAAGGACACGTGAACGTGTTTGCCGTGCAGTTCCAGCTCCAGAAGCCAATGCAGAAATCCAATCAAATTTAGATGTAAGTCAAGCTTCTTTATTTATTTATTTATTTATTTATTTATTTATTTTTTCAAAAAAACAATTATTCTAAAATAAATGGCTAATGTTTTTGATCCAAAAAAACTATTCAACAGTAAAAAAAATATTATTTGAAGTTTATTATTAATATTTGATATTTTAAAAATATCCGGTTGAAATGTTATAACAAACAACATTAAAATTTTAAATATGCTACGTTATTGTGTTAAATAATTAAGAATATGTTAAATTAAAAGCATAATGAATACCTTTTAAAAATTTTATTACAAACGTTTTTTTAAGTGAATAATTTTTTAAATAGTCATTCTAACCTATTAACAAACTCCAACTTTTAAGCATCTTATATATTTTATTTATTTTGAAATTATATTTAATAACATTTCGTTTATATCTTAGTTACATTTAGATACAAGAATCTTATTAGTTTTTGTTAATTAATTTATTCAATATAATATATGGCAAAGATGTATTTGTATTTGTTTATATGATTTGGAATATTTTTTGTAGGGATTTCAATAATTATTCTATTCATTTTAAAAATTTTGAGTTTATTTGTTAAGTTTTTTATGATTTTTAAATATTTTTGGTATGGATTTTGACAGTTATTGCTATTCATTTTTTAAATTTCAAGTATTTTTATCAATGTTAATATTCATGGTAAGATTTTAATTTGATTAATTTTGGAATCATTATCAATATCCAAAAATACATCATTTTCAATTCCATAATAGTTTATTCCACCTATAATTTCAACATATGTTCTTCATTTCTAACTCTCACAACACACAATTTGACATTTAGGGTTTTGGGATTGTAGGATCATTCATTTGGAATCGGCAAAACTGTTACATTGCATTGCATTTTGTGACAAGTATTCAGGTTCTCTTTACTTCTTCTATCTCTTGTAACTTAAAGTGTGTATGTAATATTTATTTTTTACTTCTTCTATTTGAAGTAATAGACTTGTTTTGTTTTAAGTGATAATCTTATTATGTCTTCTATCTAAAGTGATAATCTTCTTCTTCTTCTATCTCAAATAATAAATGTATATAATATGTATATATGTGTGTATATATTTGATTGTGACATTGTATATATTTGTGGTTTATATGTATATGTATAAGTTGGCATCAATGCGTTATTAGGGCAGGTTCCACGAGAGCTAGGACAACTTACTGATCTTAGATCAGTGTATGTCTCTTCCTATAGTGTTTGTGTTTCTGCCATCAAGCAATAACTTTTTTTGTTTAATTGTGTGCTTCTGTTTTTGAGTTTGAGTGAATCATACATTCACTCGGAAAAAAATCATTATGTAGGACCTTTTCTGGTATGTTGATTGTGTCAGTTTCATAAATGACCATATGTATTATTATTATTTTTGATTAAACGACACTTAATTTTTTCCTAAAAAAACTCAGTTTCTCATTTTCTTCATATTGACCTTTTAATAGGTTTATTAATAATCATCTAATTTTAATTATTTTTTTGAAGAACAATAAGTAAATTATTAGTTTAAAATAATAATATTAGTTTAATTATTCTCATGTGTACAAAAACCATTTGTTTTTTTCATTTTGCTTACTTTTAGCAACAAAGAAACAAACTTGAAAATGGACACATAGTAGTTACTTAACTATATAAAATGACAAAACTGCAAATTTGGTCCTTGTGGTTTGCAAAAATCTTTGGATAGGATCCAAAAAGTTTTCGACTTGCATAGAAGGTCCAAAATCAAAGTTTTTCTGAGTTTTTGGTCCAAAAAAACATGAAAAGACGATTTTGCCCTTTTATTTTCCTTTTTGTATTTTTATAATTATTAAAATACTATTTTAATTTAAAAATAAAAAGAAAAGAAAATAATTAACACCCACCCACTTACCTCCACCTCTCTCTCTCTTTCTCTCTCTCTCTCTCACACACACACACACACACACGAAGAACTTCTTATCCCAATCCCGTCTTCAATTGGCAACCTTGAAAACCTCAAAGACTTGATTTTAATCTCCATCAAACTCATCAGAAAAATCCCAGGTGAGCTTTGGAGCTGCCGGAGTCTCAAGACTCTTTACTTGTTCGACAACTGATTCCCCGGGTAAACAAAGACCTCACCGGAGGAAACAACGGCCTCGCCGGAGTCTGGTTCAACATCCTAATTTCACCACCACCACTATCATCCCCTCTTTATACCCACCGTCGGTAGAACCCTCTATCCCTCACACACTCACGCACATGATGAAAGAAGTACATCGACTCGCTCCTTGTTCATCCTTAGTTCCCAATTAAATCATCAACAAATCATCTTTCTCCTGCACATCTTACATTCCCAATTTCAAGATCAATTACATATCCCTAGGCTAGACTACAAAGAACAAAACTGATTTCCCAAACCCTAGATGATAATACGATCGAATCCAGCATCAGAACACTTGTAACTCGCTTTAATCTGATTATCTTAGGGTTGAAGTTTGAAAGTAAATATGTTCAAGAGTTCTTCGCCTACATGTTCATCATTTTCTTCTTTTAAGTAATCAGAATGATGCTTATGACAATACTTTTCAGAAATCTTGAAACTCTGACATGTTTTTAGGGATGTAGTTTTGGATTCTGGGATTTTTATGGTTTGTTCCAATTTTTAAGATTTTCTCCATTGAAGTGTTCTTGGGTATTTTTCCAGATTTCAGTTGATTCCGTGTTAGGATGATATTTGTTTTGGATTATTGTGGGTTGAATATGTTAAACGATTTTTTTATTGAATTAGTATGTTGAATAATTTTGTTTCTGATTTGAGATGAAGTTTTGATGGAGCATCGATATTAATTTTGAAAGACTGGAGCTATTTTTTATAGTAATCAATGTTTACACTTCATTTTTATTATAGATTTTGTGATAAGTTTGATGTTGGTATGTGTTCGAGTTCCTTGTGTGTGTGTGTGTATTTGGAGTTGCAGGTGTGTTTATGTTTAGAGAGAAATAGATAGAGAGGAGGGGGAGGAGGAAGATGAGGAGAAGAAGGATGAGGAGGAAGAGAGAGAAGGGGGAGGGCTCCGGTGGGGTGGGTAGAGAGAGAGAGAGAGAGAGAGAGAGAGAGAGAGAGAGAGAGAGAGAGAGAGAGAGAGAGAGATGGGTGAGCCAACTTAATTCCTTTTTTTGCATTAATATTTATAAAAGAAAAATATAAAAAATACAAAAAAGAAATTTAAAGGGCAAAACAGTCAATTCAAGTGCTCTATGGACCAAAAGTACAGAAATTTCTTAAGTTTAGGACTAAAAACCCAGAAAAACTTTGATTTTGGACATTCTATGCAAGTCGGAAACTTTTTGGACCCTATCCAAAGATTTTTGCAAACCACAGGGACCAAATTTATAGTTTTGTCATATAAAATTTAATGGTTATATTTATACAAAAAGTAAAATGATTTGTTTTGAAAATGGTATTTTTGTATTTACTTTTTTTTTTAAACAAATCGTTAAACATAATATATAGTGAAATAATTTATTTTATTTTAACTTACACCTCTTGTCAACTCATGTGCAGTATTTCAAAAAGTAATGCATTGTGTATATTTCAAATTACTGTTTTTTTATAAGAAAAACTATTATCAACCTTAAATGATTATGCATGTTATATGTTGATGAACAATGCAAAACTTTAACGCACAAACAATAACACATTTTTATTTTTAACCGAAAACTATAAAAATTTCTTTTTTAACAATTTCAACAAAAAAGTAATATTTAAGTTCAATTTTGGCAATTATAATTAATCACATTTGACTTTCGTTTTGTAGAATCCAAAATGATCACATTTACGTTGATGTATTTTCATTGTTACTAAACTACCATTTGTGGTATATTTTGACACTCGTTCGTATGGATTTCATTTGAAGAGACTTAAGAGCAAATAAACTCTACATTGTTTTCATTGATCAAAATGTATGTTTAAAAAACTATTTATATCTTATTTTCATTTTCATAATTTATCATAAGTATTTTGTTTATACAAATATTACATTTTCTATTAGAGAGAGAAATTGTTAGCAGTTGTTCAACAACAAATGATGTGTTTTATTTATGGATGGAATCTATTGGGTGGTGTGTTTTCTTTAAACCATTTCCAAATCGAACCAACCTATGTTGAGTATCCGAGGTATCAACAATACACTTTATTACGTGGTGATTTGATGATTAAGATTAGCAATAACACACGGTTTAATCATTTGACCGATGCTATCATATCATGGTTTCCGGTTTTTCCATTGGTTCCCTCGATACAAAGTTTAGTAGAGGATCAGACAAAGCGAAAAATGATGATCGGTAAATTTAATAACTTATATATATTTTTAGCATTCTAAAGTTTTTAAAATAATAATAAGTTATCCTTTTAATTATCGTTATTTTTAGATATTGTTGGAAAAATTATCAAATGCAAGCGAAACTATTCTCGTTACTTTGGTGTACTGACGTTAACTTCGTTCCATTTATATCTCCAAAATGGGCTGTAAGTGTTTTTTTATTATTATTATTATTATTATTATTATTATTATTATTATTATTATTATTATTATTACACTAAAACAAAATTAGGTGACTTTGGAAATATTTGATTATAAATAGGGGGAGTATAATAAAGATGAAACTATATATAACCGACCGAACACGCCATCAGATTGTGAAGACTGTCTATGCGATAAAGAGAAAGTATATAATATTTTTTTTGCAGGTGAAATTTGTTCATTTGGATTCAAGTAAGTTGTTTCTATAAAATTATAATAATTGTAGTGATATTAAAATAACTAAATCAATACATTTTAATAGTTTTTATCTTATTTTCAGTGAACATTTTGATATCAACCAAATAAAGAAATGTAGAGTTCCAACCAAGGATGCCAGAAGCATTTAACAGCATAAATATGCCTAGAAGAATTTTTAATTCTGTGTGATACATTTGGTGGTGTTTTTTTTTGAAGTATTGACAACTTTTACAAGTGCGTTGCTTTTATAGTTTATCTACATTAATATTAGACATATTGTGGTGATTGTTTTAATGTGTGGTTTATTTTTCTTGTGTTGACTTATAAATTGATCAATAATAAATTTTGGATATCTATGTAAATTTTCTTGTAACTATGTATTAGTTTCTTCTATTGTGTTTTTGAATTACAAGTTTTTAGTATAGTTGGTTATTTATTAAGGGTTGTGTTGCTTTCTGAAACACACATACATGACTACTAAATCACATGGTCTACATTACAAAATGTTACATTCTTGATGATATAATATGTTCTTACTCTTAACATTTCCATTATAGTGTTCAATGTGGACCGTAGATAAGGGAAATGGAAACTGTGATGATTCCCGAAACCTGATAGATATTGAAAAATGTATGTCGTTTATATGAGTATATATTTGCATTTGTAATATATGACTATTTATCCAAATAATATATTTGTAGAAAATTGAAAAAGATACAATATAAAATATTATGCACGAAAAAAGGAGAAAAACAAAATGAGAAGGATAACTAACGGTGAAGGATGTAGTCAACCTACAACACTCACAAGTTGCACTACAATGGAGACAAACGAAACAAATATCAACGAAGATTCATTTGTGAGTGTTATAAGTGTTGCTCAGAGGAGGAGTACTTATAATAAAGAATATTATCAACGAAGAAATGAACAAACTATGATGACAAAAAGAAGAGTATACGCCTTTCAGGAGGATCCATATGATTTTTTTTACGAAAATATCCGTATGGAATATCGTATATTAAAGGCTCAAAACCTTTGTGTTTATTGTGGAGAGAATCGACTACAATATGAATTCCCTAACTTTTGTTGCATGAGTGGGAAGACAAAACTGGCATACTCCCCTATTCCCACAGAATTACACCAACTCTTCACAAGGCAAGAGCAGCTGGAAGAAAGCTTCAGGTACAATATAAGGGCGTATAACTCAAACTTTGCTTTCGCATCAATGGGTGTAAAGGTGGATGAAGAATTGTCCAATATGACTTCTGAAGTTTACACTTTTTGTGCGCACGAAACACTCTATCATAATATCGATCAGTTAATTTCAAGGGATGGAAAATTAAGGTATTTACAGTAGTATTTTATGACGGTGAAGTTGAAATATCACAGTGATCCTCCTGGAAGAATGTTGATAAAAGAATCATCCAAAAACTAACATGTATTCTAGCTTCAAATCCGTATGTTAGAACATTTAAACATCTTTCTGATCTAGGATCGCTTGATAATTATAGAGTGACTTTGAATGCATTGGTGGAACTTGACCAAAGTGTGTACAATAAGCCGACCACATTTGAGGTGTGAATATTAACATTTATATTTATTCAATTCAAAATTAAATGTGTCATATTTATTATTATACATATCATATTAATCACCCTATCGAACTACACCTTTGCATAGGTTGCTGGTATTTGGGTTGAAGGAAATGACAACATCACTGCATATAAAAGAAGTATTATTGTCTATGGGAGGTCTAACTATAGTATTGGAATTCAACCTCATTTTGGTTGTTATGATCCTTTATCGTATCCTTTATTCTTTCCTAATGGTGAGTCTAGATGGCATCCTAAAATACTAAGATTGGGGTCGCCGTGGATGAAATTCATAGTTACAATGAAGACAATGATGAAGGTTCAGAAGGTACGCTTTTAACATTCTTTTACATATTTAAAACATTTAACAAATATTGCCTTAAATATATTGATATTAAATATATATATATATATATATATTTCACATAAATTATGATATCACAGAATCTACTTCAAAAAAAGGTAGAAATACTGTAAGTATGTGGGAGTACTATTTTTACAAGTTCCAGATACGGTCGAATGGTATTGTGTTTTGATGGGTGGGATATTGTCCCAACAGTTTGCAGTAGATATCTATATAAAGATTGAGATTACATGTGTTGTTTTTGTTGAAAAGAACCAAACCAAAATTAGAGCCGATTTATACAAGAGCGTTGTTGATTGCTTCAATGCCGGTGAGGCTCAACCAAGTAGGGTTGGACAAAGAGTTGTGTTACCTGCAAGTTTTATTGGAGGTCCACATTTCCTCTTAATAATGACACCTGGATATAAGATGCATAATCCAGACGATCATGACAAACTTCTGTGTGCGGAAATTCCCAACCCAATAAGGTTTCCTGAAATGCATGATCTTGTCAAAAGTCACATGATGCACGGTCCTTGTGGTAGCTTACGAGAAAAAAGTCCATGTATGCAAGGTGTGCCAATAATACGTCATTTC